GGTGCATGGGTGCATGGGTGCATGGGTGCATGGGTGCATGGGTGCATGGGTGCATGGGTGCATGGGTGCATGGGTGCATGGATTATTAACTTGTGATCATTATTATTAAACAAAGTCACTAACAACCAATATAACGTTTATTGTAATTTCATTTTGATGCCTCATATTTATTAACTAAAATTTTCATACAAATGATTTTCTTTCCTGATCATTTACGTGCCTATTATCATATTTACATTTATTTTTTATAATTAAGTGTTTTTGTTGTAAACCCTAGGACCCTTTTATTTTATTATTTCTGTACTAACGTGAGTCAAGTGTCACGAATGTCTGCTACAAACTTATATTCAACATTGTTAAATGCAAATTTTACAACCATGCAAAACCCCCTTATTTAATTTACTATTTCATATCCCTTTTTATAAATCAATCAACCAACTTAATTCATTAGGTTTTGTAATTAACAATACTTTTATAGTATGGGATTCTACAAGTAGTGTACAATCTACAGTGCATTTCGTTTTCCATATATATCTTAGTATATTTTAGTTATTCCAACATAATCGATATCAGGGTTATTAGACTTTTCAAATCAAATAATTAGATCATATTAAGTACGTTTTGATACAAACTTGCCAATACAAAGTCAAACGTCAACTATACATATGAAAATCAATTGTGGTTGCAAATGTCAATGGACCTCTTTAACCTTTGCCTAGTTTCTTTCCATTCCAGACCACGTGTCCTTCGATAAAGTATCATTTTTTATACATGGATATGGATACGACTCAAAGAATCTCATTTTCGTATTTTTCTTGATTATTTGGCTTCAAAATTTTCGTGGTATGCATGGTAACGATATTGCTCTTATAAAAATAGATATGAGAGCACAAAACGCATAAAGTAACCGTATACATCAGATTTTAAATTCCTTTACAGAAAAAATGGTGGATTTACGATAAGAACTTGGTTTTCACTTACAGCACAGGTATACGCATGACCAACTTCATGTGAGCATCCCTCATATAAAAGACGTATCTTTACTGTTTACTTGACATTGATTCAATGTAATAGATTGTCGGTAATCAGTAGTAATAATTACCAATAAATAAGATCCGCATTGCAAACAAAGCCCAGGATAATTGACAAGATCCAAGATAATTGTTCCAAGTATTGAAATTTGTGATGCAAGCTATTTTGTAGTCTTTTAAAGCCGTGAGTTTGCAAGTTTAGAGTGAAGGCATTTTGATTTTTTTTWAAATAAAAATTTTGCAAACAGGCCATCTTTGTTAAGATTACTTTTTCATAAAACAGTTTTCATAATAAACGTGCTGAATTAATTCAGTCGTGCAGGCAGAGAATGTATTTTCTTATGTATTGATCCAATATAAGTTTGATTATTAATAATACCTAATAATTTGTAAAGCAAGTCTCTCTATTCTAGTATATTTGACAAATTTTATCCTACATTGACATGAACGCTTGTACGATGTAGGTAGCGATTCATGTAAAAACAACAGTTTAATGATTAAGAGAAAGTGGCAGGCCACTGTCATCAGAATCATGTAACGTTTCTACCATTCCTTCATTGCTAGTCATGCCATACTGTTGTGCGTTTGGAGTGTCAGCAAAACTGGACAGTTCCAGGTCAGTAGGACTAGACTGCACATCAGCCTGTCCTCCAGCATGGTTACTCTCAGGGCTAACCATGCTGGCTTGTTGACTCTCACTTACAACAGGCACATCACTGTGCATCATGGAGGAATTTGAAACTGGCTGTTGAATACTGTTTGGCCTTTCTTGAAGGGTTTCTTGTTGATTATTAACGTACATCCCGGAGTACTGTGTATGTAGATCACCTCTATTAGAGGATTGCATCATTTGTTCGTTCGCTCTGTCGTTCTGATACAAATTTGAGGAACGTCCCATTGTAGAACTGTGAACACCCAGTTGTGACTGGTAACTAGATATAGAATAGAAAAAAAAGATTAGTGTTTCAATGATACAAAATTTCAAGGGCACTTGCCTATGGAATGTCATGTAAACGCCTTCATCAGTTGACGTTCACCAAAACGTCAAATTATACGACGGCAAATTATACGGTTTCGTACATGTCAGTGGGAAAAACTGTAATCTTTAAATTTAAATTGAATACAGGGAACTTTTCGCTGTTGTTGTGTTACCTGTGTGATGAGGAGCGTACAGATGTCACGTTATTTGAACCACAATATATGGGAGAATGTTGAGCCATGTCAATCAGCCTTGGTGACAGGCCTTCGAGTCGTGATATCTTCTCTTGCAGAACATCAACTTCTGACTGAAGTCTTCTATTCCTTAGGAACATGTTACCACCACGATCAAGATGTTGGCTCATCTGTAACAGGTTATATAAAAAGTTTCAAAACATTTATTGTATGGCTGTTATAAACCCAGGAGTACTCGAGCGTTTTGCTACGTCTCAGAGGTACGCGTTGTCTAGGAAAGGTGTTGTTGGGGAAGGCAAATTATTATTAGTAAATATCAATTCCTACTTACCCTTGGGTCTCTCAAGCCTTGCATTCTCATTTGCATCGATCCCTGAAGATCTCTTTTCTCTTCTTCAAATCTTTCTTCCATCTCTCGCCTTTCTCTCTCAAATTCCGTCTTCAATAATACTCTTTCTTGGCGGTACTTTGTCTTTAGGTTAGACATCTCTTCATTCAAGCCCTCATAATCCTTCTCCAATTTCTTTATCTTGGTTTCGTAATATTCCTTTTCTTTCTGGAGTTGGTTCTGATACTCATTTTCAATACGGTTAAAGATCTCCTTGTTGTTGAGCATAGCCTCGGCACTTTGAGCATGGGCCTTATTATACCCAAGATCCTTATCGGTTTTGTACTGTGCATGTTGCTGAAGCTGAGATTCTAACTGCATTCTATGTTCTCGTAGTCTTGTAATCTCCTGCCGTAGACTCTCCAATGTACTCTCGATGTTTTCTTTTTCTTTACGAAGTTTTCGGCGATATTCTTCCTCCAACGAGCTCTGGAATTCTTTCTGGTTCGCTTTGACATTCTCCAATTCTAAATTTGCATCTTGCAAGTCATGTTCAAGCTTGTATTTTTCTTCTTTAAACTTGACAGTCATTTCTTCCATTTTACTATCATACTCTTGTATCTCATCATTCATCGCCTCAAGCTTTTGTTCGTACTTTTCTACGTCTATTCTATACTTGGCTCTTAGCTCTTCCTCGATTTTCAGGTTTTGAACCTCTTTCGCCTTCTCGAGAGTCTCATTGAATACCTTTCTTTCTTCTTCTGACGCTTTTTGCATCCCTGCTTTTGCTTTCTTGTATTCTTTCTTAACGTCTTTCTTATCTTGTTTTGCTTTGTTGAGCTCTTTAGTCAACGCGTCAATAGTGACTCTTAACAATTTCTTTTCTCTTTCAAGTCTCTTCGTAGTCTCATCTTTGTTCTTTTGAAACTCGGTAAGTTTATCTTTTTCGTTCTGCACCGACAGCTCCAGTTTTTGTATTTGGTCTTTGTAACCACGCACCTTTTCAGCTACAAGATCGTGTATCTTGTTCTCCAAAACCGAACTTTTTGAAGATAAATTCCTCTGGAACTCCTCTTTCATCGTTCGCTGCATTTCTTCACTTTCCTTGCTCAACCTTTCCTCCAGTTCTTTCCTTTCATTCTGAAGTTTTTCTTTCAGATTTTCTAGCATTCCTTGGTAATACTTTGAATTCTCTTCCAACTTGCTCTTTAAAATATTATTTGCATTCCTATCTTTTTCTGCAAGTGATGCAAGTTCCTGGTTTTTAATTAGCAGCTGCTGCTCAAGTTGGCTTATTTTTCCTGATAAGTTTTGAATTTCATTTAGGTTTTGATTCAGGGCATTTCGTAGCTCAGTCTTTTCTTCCTCGAGCTTCTTAATCATCCCATCGTTGTCGTTTCTGATTTGATTGTGGCTACCTCTATTACCGACTTCTGGCTTGTCTTCAAGTTCTACCTGTATCTGCAAATTCGGCATCGTGGACGTGTATTCGAATTCGATTCCATTAGCAGGTTGGAATCTCTGATGATCAGGCCTATTCTCAGTTATAACTTTGCTAACTACAGAAACAGGTTTATCTTTTCGTGGCTCTCTTTTATCTTCTGGAAATACTTCATTGAGAGGCACTTTACTTTCTACGTAGCTAGCTTGTTCCCCAGGTAATGGAATGTCATCTTGTACAAATGGTTTTTCCCTCACCAGATTTTCTGATTGTCTATGAACCGACGGAAGATTGTCAGGCATTGAACTAGTAATATAAGCATTGTCTACAGCTATATCGGTAGGTTTATGAAAGTCTTCAAGGTTGTTATTGAAGCTTTGATCTTGACCTGGAGTTTTAGTGGCCACTTCTGGTCTTTGATTTTTCATGAGTCTTTTAATCTCTTCTTCTGATTGTCTCAATTCTTCCTCATACTTTTGGGCCGTGTTCTTTAGCATTTTATCCCATTCTTCTGTCAATTTTCTTACAGCATCTTCATTTTTCTTCACTTCGCCTTCCAGTTGGCAGACTTTCTCTCTCTCTTTTTCAACCTCGGCATTACTTTTCTCCAGTTCTTTATCATGTTTGTTTTCCATGTCTTTAATTTGAGCCAACAGAGACGATACTTCTTCTCTCATTTTCTCAACCTCGTCTTCCATTTCTTTATACCTTTCTCGCTCTTTCTCGAGGGCTTGGTTAAGCTCCTTCTCTGACATTTCTTTCTGCTTTTCAAATGTTGATGTTAAAGAAGCCTTTTCTTCATTAAAGCTTTCCTCCATTTCCTTGATCCGATTTGTCAAACGGTCTGCTTCTTTAGTTAATCGAGCATTACTCTTTTCCAATTCCTCCACTTTTTCGTTCATTCCTTCAATTTCATTATTCATTATTTCTTGTTTTCGTTGCAGATCATTTCGTTTTCTAGCCATTTGGCTTATTTCTTCCTGCAACTCTTCGTTTTTCTCCTCCAATTCTCTTCTTCTCGCTCTCTCTTTTCCRAAATCCTCTAATTTTTGTTTGAGATATAAATTTTCATCTTCAAGCTGGTCAATTTCGTGTTTCAAGGCTGATACTGGCTGTGAGCCTTTGTTGTTGTTATTGTTGCTGCCAATGTCCGCATTCTGAACTTCTTTAGCTTTACCTTCATCAGGAAACTGCTTTTCCTGCTCACTACTCTTAAGATCTTCGACAATTTTCTCTAAAGCTTGTATCTTCTCCTTTTGTTCCTCTATGATGACTTCATACTTGCTAACATCTTGCGGAAATTCGCACGCTTCCTGTTTTTGCAAACTTGGACCATTTGGTTCCATATGATTAATAGTGGAAAGAGGAAGAGCTTCGGCATTCATAGCAGTTTGACTATCGCTTTCTGGCGTCAAGTGATGTTTCAAGCTAATTCCAATTGCCAACTTACCATGCTTGCGACTACTAGGAAGAGGTGCTCCACCTAAAGCTGAACGCTCTTTCTCGAACCCTTCTCTCATTTTTCCCGTTTTGTCACTTTCTTCCAAAAGTTTGTTTTTCAAAACCATCAAATCAGACATTAATCCCTCGAGATTTCCACTGAGATGAGATTTTTCACGGCTTTCATTTAGGAACTTCTCCTCTAACATTCGTAAATCGTTGCTGTACCTTTTTTGTATTTCTTTTTCTCTAGCTTGAAGTTTTGCAATGTTGTTCCTGAGGTCTTCTATTTCCTTTTGGAACTTTTTGTTGATGTTAGCAAGGTCCAAGTTGATCTCATCCAGCCTCATCTTTTGCTCGTTCTCCATCGAGAGCTCGTTTTCGAGGTTTGCAAGTTGGTCTTGAAAGGAGCTTTTTAATTCAATGATCTGGATTTCATATTCATTTACCTCTCGTGCTTTTTCTCTCATCTTTTCTTCCATTCGTTTCAAAGTCTCTTTTAGAAGCTTCAGCTCGTCTTCGTAATCAAACTTGCTTTCTTCGATGATTCGGTCTCTCTCTTTAATCTGCCTTTCCTTTTCCCGTAAAGCATGCTCCAATTTTGTCTTCTCGTTCTCCAAACGAAGGTACTCCTCCTTGGGCACACGGTTTTCAAAAGCATCCATAAACGCTTCCATGGGATCGAGCCTGGGAGTCTGGTCATTGTCAGGAGTAATATGCAAGTGGTCGATAATCTCGCCCAGTTTTTCATTCTCCTCTGCTAGCAAAGCAATGTCATTTTCGTAACCTTTCACCAACTGTGGTGAAATACTTCTTGATTTCAAAAAGGTTAAAAGTTCATCATCACTCATTCTCGATTTCAAAGAGTGCATTTTGTGTTTGTGTCGATGGGCATGTGGCTTTGAATGCTCTCTGGGGTTTTTTCTTGTGTTTTGGAGATCTTCTATTGAAGCTCGCATGTTGCTGCCGGAAAGCGCAGTCTGCAAGGGGCTTGTACTTTTGTTCTCTGGCGATTCTCTGTACCTCTTAGCTCCAGGTACGATATCTTTCTCCAAGTATCTTAACTTTGTCTGAGTTTCGTCTTTTTCTTGTGTAACTTGGCTGAGCTTTAATTCAAGAAACTCCTTATCAGCCAAGAGCTTACTTATTTGTATTTTGTCTATAGAGGAGTCGCGCAGACTTCGAGCACTCACCGATGTATCTCCATCATCAGATGTCTCACTTGCAGTATCTGTTATCCAAAAGTCTCTTTCTTTCCTAAGATTTTTGAGAGCATTCTTGATGGTATCGTTTCCCTCGATAAGAGACCTCAGATCCTCTTCATCCTCAGAAAAAATAGACGACAAGTCGTCTTTGTCGTGACTATTTACGATATCTTCTGGCTCAGATGCGTCGACTTTGCTTTTCATATTAAATCCCGAACTCTCTGCTGGAGCTAAGTAGTCAGTCTTATCTTCTTCTTGTTCTTCGTGGTCTACCGAATTCAAAAGAATAGTATTTTTCATTCTTAATGTATTATTCTCTTGTTCAAGCTGTGATGCTTCTTGTTGATACTCTTCGAGCAGTTTTTCTCGATTCTCCTCAGTATCTATTTTTGTTTCGTCGTCGTCTGACATCTTCACAATAGCTTCTCTAAAGTCTTCCAAATCCTCCTTATCCATGGTAACTAGGAGTAAAAGAAGAAGAACGAACCGAGATTTAGACTTAAGTTTATTGGATGCAAAACCTTTATCAGGGACTTCTAGAAGTTTTATGCATTGGCAAGCCGTGCTTGCATTCAGCAGGTGGCAGTCGTCYAAACTGTCTAAGAACTGTCTCACAATAGTCTAAAATATACTAGTAGCAAACTCGAAGAGCTGATGAACTTCATTGAGCAACAAAATAAGCTTCAAGCCCAAAATATCAGACCATTTTATTATAATATAGCCATAGTTCCAAAGTTTGCAGCAAATCTCATGCCAATTTCATTTGGCAACGATCCCAGGCATAAAGATAATTGTAGTGTCATGTTTGGTTTAATATTTATTTTTGAATTAAAAAAGAAGACACGCACCGAAATAAAAGCGAACTATATTTTCTTTATCGATTGTCAACAAAAAGAAAATTCAATGAGAGGGTATTAGGTTTCTGGTGTGTAATGTTGTCATCGCTTAGGCTAAAGTCTCTAATTCCGTTAAATAAGTGCCTCATGAATTCAGACAAAAAATAAAAAAAGCATCGTATYATCAGTTTCCATGTCTACCATTTAATCTAAAACGATGTATACTGTAGGCAAAATGAGAAATAATTTCCGAGCAAGTGACATGAATACTGAGTTTTATTTTCAATACCACAACTTGAATAAAAGGGAATCCCAAGGTGAAATTTGGAGTTCTCGCTCAMGAACCCCCTTATCGAAACAGTATCCTTTCAATAGGAACATAGTGAGTTTAGCTAATAGCATATTATATGATATCATATAAAAATTTTAAGTTTTACTAATTCTTCTCATAAAGCATTCTCGCATTTCATAAACACTATAGGAAGTCTTTTCCAGACTGCTTCTCTTGATTTGTAATATTAGTATCGAGAAAACTGGAGGCAAACAGGTTGTTTAGGGCTTATCAACAGGTGTTCAAATTGGTCTGCTAAACTTAGTTATACTATCCCTGCGAATTAGCATATCCTTTAAACCATAATCCTATAGATTAACTTCCTAATTCTTAAAAAAAAATTGCAGAATGAAAATAAAAATTTCCTTTGACTACATATATTTTATATTTCGTCTATTATCATTAAAAACTTGCAATTAAACTCAATTATGATAAAGTAACTTTAAACCGCACTTGACAAAGTTATTATATTTCACAGATATCATTATCTTGGCATGGCATATTGTTTCCCTAGCACTTTATGGTTTTAAAAGTTAGTTAACAGAACTAAAACGCTAGTTATTTTTCCTTGCTTCTTGTCTTGTTATAATTATCAACAACTTCTAGTGTACGTTGTTGACATATAGTTAGATTGTATAGTTATATATTTACTTACCTTCTTATTAGAAACACAAGACTGTTTATTTAATATTCCTGGAATATTGCATCAACTCTTTCCACTGTAAATTTTTGTACAACCAAAATAATTTTCATTGGCAATTCTGTTACATATCATTTCTTAATTGCGTAGTGTAATCTTTCCTTAATCTTCATTAGTCTTCCTTGCGTTAATTAAGAGAAAACATCTATCGATTTCTTGAGGATATAATAATGTTTGGATAACATATAATTATGTTTTCTTTTCGTTGGCATTTTCCCAAGGTGTACTTCAAACCTGTCGCTGCCTTCATCCAAAAACAACGCTATTTCACCATGGAGACAAGAAAACGAACTCTCGCGTTTCAAAATCCAGAATATTCCGTAGTACTGGAAACCGGCTGAATATATAGCAAATGGATATAAAATTAGCTTATAAAATTAATGGATATAAAATTAGTTTAAATTCAAAGTCAGGTAAACATACACGTTATTTCATCATATGTAAATTTGATATCGAATAATTTCCCTGTCAGCAGTGTTACATAATGGACACATGCGCAATGAAATGCAAAGATATTGCTGTTTTCTTTTATTAGATTTATTGGCCTCCAAATGTCAAAACTACAAACATATATAATATTATATACACTTAAGGGAAAAATACAAGAAGAAGGGTGGGCGTGAACGGGACCTAGAGTCCCATGCAAGTGCACAAACGATATAATTAAGTAACAAGACTTAGGCAAAGGAAAAACACAAGTAAAACCAATTGTTGCCAATGGCAACCACAGTTAAGAAAGAGGCTCCACTTATTTGCTTGCTCGAAACTCAGGCAAAAAATTCCAAGGACCAAACAAGAAAATTTTGCGACTTCTATTTCTTATTATATTAATGCCCGATTTTCCCAATTCCTCAGTTTCTAAACAGTAGCAAGGGAAGGCATTTATAATTTATTGAGGGCTAACGAATAACTGGAAAACTGAATCTTAAGTATGCTGACCAAGCTCATGTGCAGGGGCGTAGCGAGGTCTCGATTATAGGGGGGGGGGGGGATTTACCGTTTTCCCGCCAAATTCACAAGAATCCTGCATGAAGAAATTAAATTTTGATGCAGAAGGCAAACTTTAAGTGGGGCACGTGCTCACCCACCTCTCCTGCCTACGCTAGTGCCCATGTGTCATTTAAATAGAATAACGCGTTAATATGTTGGCCTCTGAGAAAAAAATATAGAGTGTTCGTAAACTTATTATGTACTGTACGTAGTTATTTTACGCGAGTTTTATATTTCCTTTACAGATATATGACTACGACTTATTTTGTACGGATCACAAATCTTAGGGGTCTGGCTACCCACCAATATCTCAGTTTGGGCAGAGGAGAGGGAATACTGCAGTTATTTTTCGTAAGTATAATTGTCTTTACAGGTATGACTGCTTTTAATCGTTTTAAAACACATTTATTCTGACAATCGAAAACAGACTTGTGGCATAGGAACTAGTACATCAGTCTTGACATAAAAAAAATGTTGTACAATAATTAATTCAGCTTGGAAAAAAAATTATACATCACTTTTGAAGCTTTTTAGTTCTAGTTCATGTTTTAACGGTTCAGCGTAATTTCTGCTCTACCAACCAAAACCTGAAGAAATGTTTCCCAGAGCACTAGCAGCAGCTGCAGCCGCTTCTTCTGCCTGCTCTTTAGCCTCCTCTGCAGACTTTGCTGCTTCAGCGGCAGCTTCTTCAGCCTGCTTCTGGGCTTCGGCAGCTGCCTCTGCTGCTTGTTTTGCAGCTGCATCAGCAGCTTCACTTGCTTGATCTGCAGCATCATCCGCAGCACCTTCAGCTGCCCCTGTTAAACCTGCAGCCGATGCTGAAGCACCACCCATCAAGGCACCAGCAGCTGCCTGATCTCCTCCTACCATTCCTGTAAGTGCCTGGACTTTTTCTTGTAACTCACTCAGCATCCCTTGAAGTTTTTCGTTTTGCGTTGTCAACTCTTGTATTTTAGCTGTCGCCTCGTCTTGGATGCTTAGGTTTGACATAAACTCCTTTACATCGTCTACCTTCCCCTCCAAGGCATTTTTGAGCTGCTCTGTCAGGGCTGTATTCTTGGCTGTTTCGTCAGCAAGTTGGCCTTTGAGACTTGATATTTCATCGTCTGAAGGAGCTGCCTTGTTTAACAAATCCATTTTTGACTGGAAATAAAAATTAATTTTTTCAAGCAATTATAATATCATGATGACAAATCATACATAGGTCATATAATTTTCAGATAAATATATATTAAAGTTATTCAAGCTAAACAAGAATAGTTTTGTTTGGCCCGTAAAACAAAAGTTGTATCAAATTAGTGAGTAATAATGTCTAATTCGTATCATGCTTTTTCAATTGGCATTTACTTTTGCAAAACTTATATGAATGGCTTAGCAAATCAAAGCGTGAATGAAAACATTGTAAAATATCAAGCAAACATTTTTTGGAAACACCTTGTCCAAATCTCAATTCGTATCATCAAAGATAACAATTCCATATAATATCTTACCTTAAGATACTCGATATCAGCTTGATGAGACTACTGTAAAGTTCTGTGTGTAGGAATGAAGGGCTTCTTGCTAAGGAGGCTTTAAGTACTTTATTGTTAAATAACCTGCTGTTTTTCCCCTGTTAACTGGTTCTAGATTGTTCAAGCCTGTTTAGGCTGGTAAACAATAACTGCATCATGATTTTTTTAGTTGTAAATAGTAAAATTGTCTATAGATTTTAATTTTTTAAATGTACTTTTTATTTTATCATGGTGTTCTAAAATAATTTATAACTGTCACCTAAATGTTTCACTTTACCAACCTCCTATCTTTCCCTCTTTTTCGAGGAAGGGAGTTTTTAATAGGATGGTTAAGGAATTAAGGAGGAGGAATTCTAGAAGCGTTGCGTGTCAAGATTGAAACCAAGACGCTTGAATTTCGACATTTGCGGTTAAACACTTAATCAAAATAAAATTCAGGTTTTTGGACTTCAATCAAATTTATGTTTCAACGAGTTAAGCTAGCCTGGATTGTTGGAGAAATTTGTCTTGGTTTCTATGCATGCGCAGGGTATCAATTAAACAAGCTGCACATTGCGAGTGGTTTTTAACATCGTATATATTTTAAGGTGTCGAAACGTGTTTTTCAACTCATCGAAACTGTTAGTAGTTAATTTTTTACCAATTACAATAGTTTATCCGCTTTACACGAAGGGGATCTATAAAATTAAAACAAGCTGCTACAAGTGTTCGATATAATTCCAAATTCCGAAACATTTCTTTAAATATCCTTTCATCATGACATTTGTAGGTATAAGTTGTAACTTCTCTAGAGATAAATATTTATTCTGATTAGCTATTASTAGTCTCCTACGCAGCCGCTAATAGTGTCGGACGTCACGCCACGCTCACTCCCCTAAGTAAAAGCGTTGCGTTGCGAGAAACTATATTAATACTCCAGTTTCGAGTTCTCTTARGTCAGCCGTAGTCTAAGTTGTACGTTAAAATATTCAACCATTCAACCAAAAACTCCCGAGTCTCTTGACATAAATTTTGTCATTAATTAAATAACGCCATTAATCAAACAACTAAGTATCGTTCATTCATCTGAAGATGAAAGACAGCAACACGGCGCGTTACTTAGGTTATTATTTTGATTTTGATCTTAAACATCGTGGGTGGATCGCTATACGGGATGTTTATTAGGTCAGTGCGCGCTGGCTTCCCCTTCTTGTTCAGACAGTTAACGCAGACACATTCATCTAGTGCATGAATCCTATTCTCTCCCACTCACCCGCACAAACTAATCCTGGATTCGTTTCTTTTATATATTTAATGATGAATAAGAAATTAATACATAATAATCACCAATTTACCATAACCAAATGAATAAGAAAAACTTATCGGAAAAAAAAAGTTTTATTAATAATTCATTCTCATTATACAGTGGCGAATTCAGGATTTTTCAATGGGAGGGGGGGGGGNGGGGGGGGGGGGGGTGGAGTGACTATTGAAAAGGTTTTACCAGGATGCGCCCCAGTTATACGTGCCGCGGTTACGCAAGGAATGTGTCAAACCCGGCATTGAGTAAAGTCCAAACGCTTTAAGTTGTTAGCCTTTTGTCATGCAACTTAAGCATATTTCTTAGGGGTTTTCTTTGTGATTTTTTGGGGGGTGTTTAACTTTTTTTGCTACTAAAAAGTGGCAAGTGATTTTCCTGAAATAAAAATAATAATAAACGAATATTTGTGTTGCGTCCTAGTGCTATAAAAATATGCCTAAAGCCAAAGACGTTTGATGACCTGGAATGTAGGAAAAAGACTGTATACATTTCTAAGCCATATGGCATTAATGGTTGCACGCCTAAAATATTTATCCACCAATACAGCACTCAATTTCATACTTAACTTTCTATTTTGAGGCTTTAGAGGAATTATGGTGTTTTGATTTGGTGGTTAGAGTGCACCAGAATCACCAGGAGGTAAGCGTCCTTTCGCAATTCTATCTTTGGTCTGATGGCACCTGACAAGTGACATTTATAGTATCTTTCAATTTAATGAAAATAACTTGTTTTCCATAACTTCAACAAACATGTTTTGACCTTGGACTTGTTTTGACCTTGTTATAGAAAACATTTAGAACAGTTGCCAGTGGAAGAAGGATAACAATGGTCTATTAAGGTAACTATACTATTATAATAACTATATATGCTCCTGGTAATGAAGAATGACAGTGGCACACTTATTTTTCATATTATCCTTTAAAACAAAAAAATCGATTGAAACTTTTAATGATAAGCTCTTTCATATGGACTGGAGGTTAGTTTAATGTCGTCTTAGGAAAATTGTTATACAAAATATTTCATTCGTGGAAAGACAGATTTCGTATTTTGACTGGAGCACAGTGTGTTTCTTTAAACGTTATGACGTTTTTGTAATTCGGATTCTATCATCTACATTTCTGTCAGACRAAAGCATTGAAAACATCATAGCGAAGAAGAATCAGCATTTATTGCTGTTTTCAGGCAGGCAGCTTTTAAACAATTATCCCCAAAAATCAATGTTTTCTCTGAATCAGTGTTTATGTTAATTAGGTATGCATTTGACCAAAGGATTTGCAGGTCTTATAACATTATATAAATAGTATAAAATTGCGCCAGTTGACAAGTCTGATGAGCAATCCTTACTAAATTCAGAAACTAAATTCAGAAAATTTTATTTAAAATTTTCTCAAAAATTACATTGCATTTGGTGGGTGTTTTCTTTAATCCTCCTTGGGTTAATGACATATCTCCCACCTGTCTCATTTCCTGTATAAAGCCTTTGTGTGGTTGAGGTGAATTTTGCATTAGACATTTTGCCAAACCTTTCTCACAGCTTTAAATCAGTTGATATTTTATAAATCAGCAGCAGAAAAAGTATCTATTCTCAACTAACAAGGCTACAGTTTCAATTGTAGTTTCTTCGTGTTATTTCTAAATCTATTTAGACCGCGTTTTTATCTTATTATCATAATTTCTAAGTTTATTTGATTCTTTAGGAGGTACGAATACTCTGCAAAGAACATTCATTTAAACCAAATCGGTCTTTTCAACTGGCTGCTTTACTTGGTCTTGATTGGTAGAAATGGATGCACCAGATTTCGTTGAAAATGGCCATGGCTGTTGCTGTGGAGAACACAATCAAAGTTGTGTCAGAAGCAGTGAGCACAATCATGGTTGTAGTTCTAGAGAGCATTGCCATACTGATACCAGAATGATCGATAACAATCAAAGTTGTAGCTGTGGAGAACATAGCCAAAGGGATGCAATTCCTGCAGATTTAAGTGGTTGCTTTCATGGTGAATCGACTAGGTACAATGAATCGCCGACTAATGCCATCGATTACGAATCACGTTATTACCAACTCAAGATGGAAAAGGAAGAAATGGAGAGAAACTATGAGAGGGAACTTCGAGAAAGAAAGGCTGCTGAACGAAAGTTCCAGGAAGAACTCGAAGAAAAATATCTTATTGAGGACAAGTTTTCTAGCTTGAACCAAAGCATCCAGAGGTATGACGATGATTTGAACATATTGAGAAATGAAAACCAGTTTTTAAAAGGCCAATTTGACAGCCTCAAGAATGCAATTAGTTCAAGAATGAGCGCAGAGATTGACATTGGTCATAGCATGCATTTGGATCAAGAAATGTTGTCTTCTTCAACAGTCACTTTAACTGAATCTGCCGACTCATATAAGCATGAAGTTGCTGTACTTGCAAATGAGAACGATATTCTTAGACAAATTATTGAAATTATCAACCAACAAAGCCAGGAAAAGGCTTCTTGGGATGAGAGGCGTTCAGAGAAATACACACCTGACCAAAAATGGCAAACAGACCCAGACGTAGCTCGACTTCAAGAAGAAAACTCTAAATTAAAGAGCAGAATTCGCGAACTGGAGAGAAGCCGAAGAGAACAAGAGTCAGAAATGGAAGAGGTAGCTCTTGATTTGGAAGACCAAACTCGTAAAAATAAGAAAGATATATCGCGGCTGGAGGAAGAAGTCCGTTCAAAATCCCTTCTCGTTAAAGACTTAGAAAGGCAGCTTTATCAAATTAGGATGGAATTCCATGAGGAAGTACAGAAATGGGATCTGAAACTAGAAGCTGAAGTCTTAATGAAGACACAGGCGCATGAAGAGGTTAACGTTCTTCAAGGGACTATTCAAAATTTAGAAGCAGAGCGGACTGAAATGGTAACAAAGCTGGAAGAATTGTACTATTCAGAAAATGAAATCATACAAGCAAGGAATGATCTTGAAGCTCGCTTTTCGCTAGAAATAAGTGAACTCCATGCTAGAATAGAAGAGGAGATACGAACCAAGGTTGAACTATCTCAGGAGATGACTGTCTTGATGAACGAGTTTGTTGACCTGAGAAATCAATCGAAGCAGATGGAAGTAATGTATCTCAACGAGATTGAGGCTTTACGTTTAAATAATGGGCTGGATATAGGAGAAGGGGCAACAGCACAAAATGAGTTTAATACTAATGTTGCGACAGAAACCTACTTAATGCAACAGMCTAACGGGTGTGCGACGACAGGTCAAAGACTAACACAAAACGGTGGAAGAAAGGTTAGAAATGATGTTCAAAGTCAACTGAATCAAGAAATACAGAAACGTGAAACTTTGGAAAAAGAAAATAAAGAACTCTTATATAAAATGAAAAACATCCTCTCTAATAGTGATCAACGACTTGGAGAGCAGGGCAATCAAGGAATTGGCATAAATGTTAGCTCATTTACTGGCGATACCAACGAAGCAGCTGACGGTTCGCATCAACTTAGAAAGAAGATCCGATCACTTGAAAATAAAGTGGCTGAATTGACTGAAGAATGCGAAAGTTTACAACGATCGGCCGAAAAAGGAAGAGCAATCGAAAGAAAGAATAGAGAACTGTTGAGTGAATTGGATGATTTGTCAACACAGAGAGATGAAATGTTACGCAAGCAAAGAACACTTGTCTACGAAGTCGAGAAGTCATCATCTTCTTTACATGATGTAATGGACAAAAACCGTAGGCTTATTGATGAGATGGATTCAAAGTCACGCAGGATTCGCGACATGGAGGACAACTTCAGACAAGAGCGAAATAGCTTAATACGCAGCTACGACAAAGAAAAATCTTCAGAAATTCGAGATATTGAACGTAAAAAAGACGACCTAGAAAAACGACTCGATGATCAGGTCAGAGAAAATGGAAAACTTGAAAACAAGGTACGAGATCTTGAAGAAGAAATACGGTATTTGAAACAATCCAGTGGCAATACTCAACTTGGAAATAGGACAACTTCGAATAACCCATTTGATAGCAACAGGAAAGTACAAAATGTGAGCAATTCAATATCAAAGATGGCTACCAATTCAATGGATTTTGCACAAGATACTTTAGAGTTAGAACAGTTGTTACAAGAAAGGCAGCGAATGGAAGACGATCAATTTAAAGCACTCGAAGAACAGAGAAAGCAGATGCGTGAAGAATTTGAAATGGAAAAACAAAAATTGCGCAAATGCTTTGAAGATGAAAAACGTAGCCTTGCAAACCAATTCACAGCTGGATCTGGAACAATTTCTCATAGTATGCTAGGCAATGTAAATGTGCCAGGGATACATTCTGCTCCTTCTTCTGTTTTTGTTCAGGACACATGTTATACCCAAACAGGACAGACARGCCAACCAATGCCTCAAAATCCTAGCGTTAACGTCGTCTTTCCTAATGCCCAGAGCCCAGTTACTCATCAAAACATGTTAAACAACCAACAGCCTTCCCCTTTTCACGCAAATATGCCGAATCCAATTTCATTCCAAGAAAATCGAAACACAGGAACAACTACTAGTTATCAAACCCCTCAACAGCCAAGCCAGTTTCATGTATCATTCCAAACTCCACAATCTCATTCACAGCAACAACTTCCCTATACCAATCAATACAGTGGTCAAGGAGCTCAAAGTATTGTACATCCACAAGTACTTCCAGGAATTCACCAAGATTCACAGTTTAACAATAATCTAGTTACGCTTCAGCAAGAGGTTCAACGACTTAGTGCAGAGAAAACGAATATGGAGAAAAGGCTGAAGAATATGGAAAGACAACTAGCAAGTACGTCGGGTAATGTGGGAGCTGGGAATGATTCCACGATGTTCATTTCAGCTTGTGAGATCCAAGGGAGCAGTAATGAGAATGAAAAAGAATACACTGACCGTTCAACAAGTAGGCATCCCGATAACATGCAAGAAAGAAGTCGTTCATCAACAGTGGCAATGCACTACAGCTCCGATGGCAACATAGACGGACAGCTTCAAGTGACCATGAAAAAATTGGTCGAAGAACATCGCCAACACTCCGATGAGCTACGAAAACAAATGAGACTCCAAAAGGATTCCTTTGCCAAAGAGAAAGTAAAGTTGCAAAGAGAATACTCAGCTCTACTAAACAATGTAAAGTGTCTTAAGAAAGAAATTCATATTCTTAAGCATGAAAGAGAGAGCATGAGGGAAAAGATCAAGAAGCAAAGAAAGGAATTTGAAATGCGAGAAGACAGGTCAAGCGATGAAGTTGCGACGGTTAGAAAAGAGTACGAGTTGAAAATTAGACAACAAATCGAAAAGTCAGAGCGAACTGTGAGGGAACTGCAAAGAAAGATAAGCATCTCTGAAAGAACTTTGAAGGAAATAGAAATGAAATTTAGGGATGAAGTCACACAAATCGAAAAGAAATACTCACAAGATAGGATAAACCTTGAGGCCAAGTTGAGAGAGTCCGAAAACGTAGCCAGGTCGAAACTTGAGTGCCATTACCAAGCAAAACTGAATTCTGAGAAAGAAAGATACGAAAACACGTTAAAAGATCTTCGCAAAGAAATCAAGTGTCTCCAAGCTCAGAGAAGAGAAATTCAGCTCAAGATTACTAAAGACGGAAGTGATGCAAGTGTGACTACGCAAAAAGACGCGTCCTACAGTTTTGTATTTCAAAATAAAGAATTCTACAAACGTTGCGAGAAAGAGGTTGAAACTCGCTTTACACAAGAAAAACGAAGACTTGAAGATACGTTGCTTGACTTGAAAAAAGAAGTCGAAGAGCTAAAGAAAGAGAAAAACGATATAAAATCCTGTTACAGAGAAGAAAAACTGCAAAGAGAAGAACAGTTCCAGCGAGAGAAAAAGAGAATGGAGGAAAGGCATAGATGTGACGTAGATGAACTCAAGAGAACGATTGATATGCTTGAAGGCGATAACTTCAAGCTTATTAGTATGCAGAGTGGGGTAAGTGAATGCAATTACTACATCACGTGTTGTTACTTCTGAAAATGATTTACATTATAAATAATTCGCTTTCTCAGGGTAAAAATACTCGTTTGTGCCTACTGTCATGGCTGCCATCACGTGATGGCACAGAGCCTCTATAGATGTTTGCATGTTTTATACTGCATTCATGATGTCTTGAGAACCAGTCCACTACGTACGCGCCGCCTCGCTTGATACCAAGAGCTGGATGACTTTTAACTGCATGCAGCACACGCGCGCGTTTCCGAAATCTATTTATCACAATAAAATGTAACTGATTTCAGAGCCCGTACATTTCAATAATGTATGCGTAATACTAAGAGCGTGTTCTTTTTTTCGTAGATTTCTGTTAATGGGCATCAGAAAACTACGAAAAACGCTCACACTACAATTATTCAGAAGAAGAATACATCCCTGGAGTTAAAAAATAATGAGCTAGAAAAAGACATTGCATACCTCAAGGGAAGACTGAGTGATCTCGAGACCCGTCAGAACAAGTTGGTCACTTCTAACAATGACATGGTAAATCAAATAATTATATGTTAATTTGTAATTGTGTCAAATACTTCATTTGCCTATTTTTTTCATTTTACTCTTAAAATGATTAATATTTTACTGGAAGTGCGCAGCATAATTTATTGCATGGAAAGCTCGTCTTCATCAGTACAAGCCAGATCAGTACACATTGAAGCCGCATCTAGCCTGAATTAAGTCAGGGAATATGATTACAYAAAACAAATCAAATCGTAATTTAGCAATTTTTGGTTTGGTGAATTACGTAAAGCGGAGAATTCCCGACCGGAGGAAAACCCTCGAATCAGGATGGCGTGTTCAGGAATCGAACCGGAGACACAACAAGTGATCGGCTAGTGCACTGCTTTACAAATTAAACATTGGCTCTCTTAGTTATATCTACTACATATTTATCTGTATACATCTGCATTTGTTTTCAGCCATCCAGTGCTAGTGAACGCAAAGTTAGATTTAGTTCCGTCAATGGTTCAAAAGCGCAACTTCGTAGATCACTTTCCTCGACGGACCTGCGAAATATGGCTGGTACTGGGCATCGAAGCGACACATACAGTTCAATACGTCCTGTTATCTCACGCGACGACCTTGGTATTTCATCAAGCCGACTCTCATCAAATGGAGTGGCTTTGTCGTCAGGGTCGCTCACGGCTGCCAATGCAACAGGAAATGCCGGATTTCTAGGCAACAGCTATGCAAGAAATACTGATATAACGCACATCCCATCTATTGGTATCTTAAATGGCGCCAATGGTCATGGTTTGGGTTGCAATAGAGATACAAATATTGCTTATGGAGGTGGTAACCTTGTCGGGTCCTTCTTGGGTCTATCATCTGGAGCTGGTTGTAACAACGGTATTGGGTCCGGTTCAGCTATGACCGGAAATTATAGCAGGAGTATGACCAGCGGTGGCTTCCTGTCTAGTGATGGTGCTACGGCTAATAGTTATCAGACTGCTAGTAGATTTGCTTCCGGTAATGCCACTGGAATTGGTTGCGCAAGTTACTTGTCGACTAATAGTGGGTCTGGCGGCGGTCTTATATCTGGTAATGGTCTTGGAAGCGGGTCTTTCTTTGGTAAAAGTTCTGGAATGATTGGTGGTTGTATATCAGCTGGTGTTAGTAGTGGTTCTTGCCATGCTAACTCATCTTCTCTGTCTGGTAATCGCTGCAGTGGATCAGTCTCGGGACTTATGTCTTCTAATGCACAACGCGATGGCCTGAGCTCTGGTTTCTTAGCAACAAGTGGTCTGGGAACAAACTCTGGTACTAACACAAATAACATGGGCATGCGATCAAGTCTCACCTCTGGTCAGGGCATTGTAGGATCAGGAGAAGCACTGTCTGGTTCTTTCGGTGGCAGAAGTCTAGGTTATGGAGCCAATTCAGGAATGTCTTGTGGAAACTGCTCATCAATAAGAGGTGTTTAGCCTTTCATTGAACATTTGGAAAATTTAGCTTTACAAAATGTACTTAATATACCAATACATTAATACTATATATATGAATTAATAATACAAAACATTATATATATATATATATATATATCAAGCATAGTTCGTAATGGATATGGCTTAAGGAAGGTTTTGTTTTTAGCTACCATTTTGAATAAGAACAAGTTTAGCTATATATATATATATATATCAAGCATAGTTCGTAATGGATATGGCTTAAGGAAGGTTTTGTTTTTAGCTACCATTTTGAATAAGAACAAGTTTAGCTTTTGTGAAGGCTTACATGTCGTTTTTTGTTTTTATAAAATTGAAAATTTTCATGCCTTCTAGATTCAAGTAAATTTTGATCAGGACAGACGGATTGGGTTTAAATATGTGCGATTGTTTCAGTTATTCGTAGATTTCTAATTGAATTGATATATCTTTGTTTCTAAATGGATACTAAATAGTGTTCACTTATCTTTCTAAACAACGGTCTTTCTGGTTTGAATCAGCCGTACGATATGAATATATTTACCACGTCCACCAACGGTCTTTCTGATTTGAATCAGCCGTACGCTCTGAGTATTTACCGCTGCACTATCCGTGCCAACCAGTGCTGGCGTCGCTTCGTTAGCGATTACTCACCTTTAATAAGTTAATCAAATTTACCTTCAGTACAGTMWAWTWKACTGTACTGAAGGTAAATTTGATTAACTTATTAAAGGTGAGTAATCGCTAACGAAGCGACGCCAGCACTGTTTGGCACGGATAGTGCAGCGGTAAATACTCAGAGCGTACGGCTGATTCAAACCASAAAGACCGTTGGTTGGAAAGATAAGTGAACACTATTTAGTATCCATTTAGAAACAAAGATATATCAATTCAATTAGAAATCTACGAATAACTGAAACAATCGCACATATTTAAACCCAATCCGTCTGTCCTGGCGCCCTTGATCATTCTAGATCTTTTACCTAAAAATTGCCAAAATTATTTGCCTGGCAATATGGACGAAGGAATTGCATAAGGAATCTGCGTCATTGATGTTCTTCAACGGAACTAATTGAATTATCGTCATATCTTTATTTGTTTTCCTCGCTTCTTCCTTAGATATAAACAGACTGTATAAATAGAAACATAGACTGCAAGCAGTGTATTTCCTTTAATTTCCCCTGTATTTCACTGTTTGGTGTTTGCTTTGGTTAATTTGGCCGAGCGAGCAGTAGTAGCTAGTCGAAACATCCGCAGGGGAGGGGTGTGAGGAGTGAGGTATATTAGACTACCTACTAATCCTCAATCGGCCAATTTGAACACAGCAAACACAAAACAATGACCGAGAGAAATACTGGGACGATCTACAGGAACTGTTGGCAGTCTAAAAATGAAAACTGGGATTGACCAGATTGAATATTCATTTTTAAGCTTATAGTTTCGAATTAATGTTTCAATAAGGAACTTTGAAATTTTATTTAGATGTTTATTTAAAACAAGTACTAGGTATATGTTGTACTACTATAATTTCAATGAAATAACCTTCCAAAAAATGAAATATCATTTATGAGCAAAATTAGTAAACAAGATTTTTAGTACATGTTTTGTTAGTAAATTGTTAGTTCTTTTTTTTTATATTATCAACTATATTAGTTCGATAAAATAAATAAACAAAATATATATCAATCATTATTAGAGCAGTTTTCGCATGACTATGAAATGCAGTAAGCGTGCCGTGCCGTGAYGTTTTCTAGAATTTTAATTAGCTGACTTGTTTGATCTCGTGAAATGCGATTGGTCTGGCAGTGCGGTGACCGTGTCCGTACCGTGTTTCTTCCGTGTTCCGGGTATCTGATTGGATGGAGAGTGAATTCTTGAGCAATGTGACTAGTCTGGCGTATTCCCTGTCGTGTCACGACCGTATTCGTACCGTGAGCTATTCACAGTCATACAAAAACTGCTTTATGTAGTATGAACAAAATTCACAAAGAATATAGGTTTTTCATGTTCCGTAGTTAGCTAGTAGTTAGCTAGCTGCTAGTTATTTCGTTCGTTACTGAGATACTTAGCGCTTATTTTATTCACCACTAGATTTGAAAGCTTTTATAAAGTTTTAGGATAGATAGATTTCAGTGTACCATTCTGGTCAGGTATGGCCGCCGGATTCGTTGGTAATTGATGTAAGAATTATTATAGAAAAATAAAGGAAGTAAAATATCGCATATTGCAATAAATGTGAAGTTTATGATGTAAATGAAAGGCGTTGTAAATGATAAAGGAAAGCCTTGTCCTAATAGACCTTTTGGGATTGGTAATAATGTTTTGCCATCTCATATCACATGTCATTCTTTCGAGATAAAAGATCTTAGTTAGAGTCGTTTCGATAATGATGTCTCTTCTCATGCGCAACTGCTTATTATTAACGAAGAAATGGTAGTCTATAGGTAATTATGACACGTGCTCTGAAATGGAGAGACGAGAAGAGAAGAGAAGAAAACAAACGAGTAAAATATGGCGGATATAGTTTGGTTATTCTACTGCTTGCGCGCCTGACTCTGCACATGATTTTATTATGCGTAACGACTCCACAGAACTGCCTAAAAAGCATTTGAATATATTTATACATGTCTACTTCTACAAGGCTGAGCGCGAAATTTTCATTTTGTGTGCGCAAACACTTATGACGTATGATTTGACAATCGCTGGCCTTACCGATCTAAATTTGGTTCTGCTAATACCCAGACTTTTGTGATGTTTGGTTAGGTTTTATCTAATTATTTATTTCGAGGATCAACTTTTTGTTTCAGAGAAGGATACTGTCTCTCAGAGTAATTGCAGTGTTTGCAACAAATTGACGTAGGTTGATAATTACAAAATTGGATATATACATCGGAAATTATAATATATTTATCAATAACTCCCAAAGAAAAATTAATTAGTTAATAAAAACTCCCAACCTTTTATTGACGACAAATTACGACGGTGCAATTGCAAATGAATAAGTATATTCATATCGAACCAAGCTTTCATGTTTGATGAATTTTAGAATTCTAGATGAATAAACTTAGGCTATGTTACAAAAGTTTCAAAAACGATTTATGTTAAATTAATACTTTTACAATATACAATTATTTCATATGCTAATATACAAGCTGCTGTAGTCTAACATTTTTCTTGGTTAACACATATTACATTAAAGTTTATTATAGTAAATTTTTCACAGATTGATCTTCATCAAACATCGCCATACGCATGCATGGAGAAATAATTCAGACCACTGTAAAAAAAATAACGTCACGCGGCACGGTAACGGTACGATATCCATCGACCAAATCACAGCACAAGAGACTAATGATCATTCATTCTGAATTCTTAGACGAGGCATGTCAGTGTCACGGACACGGTACGGTAGTTAATTATCGTGAAATTTTCAAGTCGTGTGAATGTGAACTAACTGTCCAGTGTGATTTTAGACGTGGAGATGTATCTCGAACTACGGGATTCTGATTTCTGCTGTCTTCGGATCGAATAAGAGTCGTGCTCTTTAACCTGTTGGAAAAAATCAGAATAACGTAATTTAGGTTTTTTTTCTCAAATGACTTTTAAAAATCGCCACGTTGTACATAGCATATAGTGTTCCAGAAATCCAAAAGTCCAACATATATGCACTCGATCAATTGCAAAAACATTGTCGGTTTGCTTAGAGCATAGCAGCGACCGTAAGATATGATGGGAAATGACATAACTATCTTCTGTTGTATATTCATTCTAGATACCACAGTTGATATATCAAACATGTAGTCTCAATGCGTTTTGTCAGTGCAACAATTTATGAACATCCCACGAGTCGTATTTCTAGATGCATCTAATTAACGCAACGTCTCAGCTTCTTTGTTCAGTATTTGAACCCGACAATGATTTTGCAATTGATTCTATAATGAGTCCATCAGTAAAGCCACTGTTATATTTCTTTGAAAAACGATGGCGTATAACCTTTAGCTTTACTTCCAGAAGGCTTTTGTGTTTCTCATCAAGATTGTTCAGACAATCATCCATCATTCTTAGTTTTGCTTCGAAATCTGCTCTTTTTCTTGGTGACCTTGGAGTTCTTGGTGACCTTAAAGTTCTTGCGCCTCCACTTTCTTGTATATCATCGTCATCATGTCGTAGAGATTTCGCAGCATTATGGCTCTTGATATTTTATATTCGATAAACAAAGAAAAGATTAAATGGTATTGAATTGATTAATAATTATTCACAGTCAAAAATCRGTAAAACATTTACCAGTTGATAAACCGTACTCCTAATGACGTTTCATACCTAAAATATCACAGTCCTTTTCCAAATATTTCTCCATATTCAAATGTTAAAACTCCTTTGAGAATCCCAAAACAATAGTTAAAATTAGCACACATCAAGCTTGAAAAGTTTTTTGTCAAATAACTTGACAAGGGCTTTCGCCCGGAATAACCTCGTTCCCAAGCACTACAACTTACCTATATTATCTTCTGACAAAAAAATGATAGCCTACGACCAAGGAAGTCGCCCAACCAATCTACCATTAACCTTATAACCAATTAACTTATCAGGCGACCAAAACCCATTTGATCAATTTACGACTGAATAACTAAACAAAATCAATTAATCGACTGGCTAGTCTATAAACCAGTCAATTATTTCATGCATTTTATGTTTGCTTCCTTCGACATTTTGATCTAGCGCCCAGAGATGGAACCGTTTCAGTAGCATTTATTGTTATGCTAATTTTCACTACTGTCTTGACATTCTCTTTCGGTAATATTTTTTGTTATTAGGGCAGAAATGTAATTAAATACGAACTGTTTTGGCAAAAACCACTAAGACTATAGATTTAGAAACAAAACCAAATGATTTACATACCTTTATTCTGTCTTCAGCCGTTGCGTATCCATACTCGTAAAAACGTCCAGTTGGTTGTTTCTGGACCTCGTTCCTGGGGCTTTCATCTCGTTGTGGGTAAACATAGAATGAGCATCCACAAACCTTCGTATTTCGACCATGTTGACTAACATTATCTCTTGGACTGCCACACCTTTCAACTTCTTCCTCCAGATGTTGTATCCTCCTTTTGAATTTCTCACAAGCGACTGTAAGAGCATTAAACTCCATTTCCAGTTCTCTTCTGCTTTCTTTTATTGCCAATATCTCACTTGTGGTACTGGCTATTTTGGATTCATAGACACTTTTTTCCTGGCTTAGCTTTTCCCTGTGTTCGCTATGTAATTCAAATTTCAATTCTCGTTCTTTCCTTTTCATTTCTTCTAATTTCAGTTCAAGTTCCCGAATTCTTTTTTCTGCTTTGTTTAGCTTTTGTTGCAGCTCCAGAGCTGAATGTTCAAATTGGTCCACACTTACATGGGCTTCTTGAAAGCTGTTATGTTTACTCTTCAATTTATTTAGTTCTTTTTGCAACCCATCCCTGCTGATCTCAACCATTTCCTTCTCATGTTCAAGGCGTCTCTTCTGTTCTTCATTGTCGCGTTTTGCATCCCTAATCACGTGATCAAGCCTATTTTCGTATTCACCCTTCTGAGCCATCTGCTGTCTCTCAAGTTCAAGGATCCTATTCTTGTTTTCGCTGTTGACTTCTTCAAGTTCATAGAGTTTTTCCTTAAATGCCTTTTCACGTGACAATGCTTCTGTTAATAGTTTGGAGTCGTGCTGTGACGTTTTAAGTTTCTCGATTTCTATCTCATAGAACTTTATCTTTTGTTCCGTTTTCTCTTTGTTCCTAATAACACTCATTTCATACTCCAATGTTTGCTCCTTTCTGAAAGCTTCAAACTTCGTTTCAAACTCTAATGTAAGCTTGCTTTTCTCTTCTGCAAAGCTTTGCTTCATGCTCTCCTCTTGTCGTTGGAATTCTGCTCGTATTTCTCGGAGTTTGTTCTCTGCTTTGAACTTCTCCTTTGTGGAAATGTCAAGCTCGATCTGCATTCGATGGAGCTTGATATCCATTGAATCCTTTTCCTCATTAAGCTTTCTTTGCCATTCTTCCTGCGCCTTTCCTTTCTCATCTATATACATTAGCTCGATTTCTCTTTTCTCCTTTTCGTAGTGTTCTCGAAGCTTTTCCATTTCCTTGTTCATAGCTGTGCTGCTAGATAAACTGCACTGGTGCTGATAAGTTGATTCCAAATTCTGTTTGCTTTTCATTTCCAATTCGATTATCCTTTTCTCATATTCCTCTTTGACCTTACTAATCTTTTCCATGAGATCAGTCTTTTCTTTGATTAATGCATTTTCACTTCTAAGACTTTGGCTTTTTAAATTTGAAATTTGTGATTCCAGCTTCCTGATCATTTCTCTTTCCTCTGCACTACTTTCATGTTTTATTCTGTTCAAACTTCGACGCTCTGACTCCAATTCCAATCTATATTTTTCTGCCTTCTCTTTCTCAATTCTTACCAAAGACTCACATTTATATATTATCTTCTCGTGATCCAGTGGCATTTTTTCACGTTCCTCTTCCAAGCGTAGTTTTTGCGCCTTCAGCATTCGTATTTCTTCTTCAATATCGCTCTTCTTTGAGCGGCGCAGATCTTCTTCAATATCGCTCTTCTTTGAGCGGCGCAGATCTTCTAACTCCCACGATATACTGGACCTTTCTTTTTTAATTTTTTCCATTTCTATTTTTTGCTCTTCTGAACGCCGTGTCAGACTCTCTATCTCCAGTTCGAAGCGATACTCCATTTCTTGCAATGATTTCTCTTTCTTGATGAACTCCAACCTTGTTTCTTCAAAACTCTTTACCTGTCTCTCAATCTGTTGCTTCTCTCTCTCAAGGCGTCTTTTATTGGCGAGCAAATCTTCGCGCTCTGAAATTAATGAATTAATTTCTTTCAATACTTTCGAATTTTCCATTTCAAGCTGGAGAATCCTATTAGTTTTGCCTTCGTTATTTTTTATATTGGTTTGGATCTCTTTTGTCAACTCATCTCTTTGAATTTTCAACATGTTTATACTATTTTCCTTCGATTTAATCATTTCTTCGAGATTCTCGTGTTCGCGTTGCAGTTTTTCGAATTTTCTTCTCAAACTCAGTAGCTCCTCGTTGCTTCTTTCTTGCTCTTCTTCATATTTTATTTTGCTTGTCTTCAACTTATTTTCAACTTCTATGCTTCTATTTAAGCATTCTTGGTATTCTTTACGAGTGTCTTCGTGTCTTCTTCGTTCATCGTCGAGAAACTTTAGCAGTTGACTCTTTTCAGCTTCATACGCAGTCTTTATCACCTCTATTTCTTTTCTCAAAAACTGGCCCATGTCTTCAAGTCTCTTGGTATAATCCACCTCTAGATTTTTGTACGTTTGTCTTATTGATGTTACCTCGTTCATTAATTCTCGAATTTCTTTTTCCATGTTTTCTTTCGCTATTCTCTCTTTGTTAAAAGCTGCTTCGAGATCATCTATTTCTTCCTCTGCTTTTTCTTCATTACCTTCATAAGTGTTAGATAGCTTCTCCATGTTCGTCTCATACTTTTTTATCTCTAGTTGATATTGCTTAGCAGTAATCTCTTTTTGTCTTGCAAAACTAGTCTGAATCTCTGCAATGTATTTCTCTTTCTCTTGTTCAAAAGCTCTTTTCATTTCCTCGACGTCGCTCTTCCATTTTTCTTCCATCCTCGTTTTACTCTCGTCAAACTCCTTCTGCTGCAGTTTCATATTTTTCTTCAACAATTTATTCTCTTCAGACAAATTCTTTATTGACATCTCCACCTCGTCTTTCGTTATCTGGAACCTCTTCTCCATGTCATCTTTTTCTCTCTTGTGCATATCAAAAATTCGTTGTCTTTCCATTTTGTAATCTTTTTCATGTTCATCTCTTTCTTTCTTAATTTTTTCTTTGAACTCAAATTTCACTCGTCGGATTTCTGTTTCACACTTTTCTTCAGTCTCTGCCAAAGTTGAACGAATTTTCTTAATCTTTTTGTTGTGTTCCTCTTCCATCTTGTCTTTCTCTTTCTCGGTGTCTTCAAGCTTGCTTTCATATTTCTTCATCAAGTTTGCTATCTTGAGATCATACTGCTTCACATTCTTTAAGTTTGCTTCCATCAGAGTTTCTTTCTCGTTTACAAAGTGATCCTCTATTTTATCTTTTTCTTTCTCAGCATTTTGTAACTTTTTTTGAAGCTCCTTCATATCAGATTCAAATATTTCCTTTATCTTTTCCAGTTCTTTTTTATGCGTTGCTATGAGTTCTTTCAAAATAATTTCCAACTCTTTCTTCTCGTTTTCTCTTTTTGCATCTTTCTCTTTCCATTCATCTCCCAACTTGTCGATCTTTGCCTCGTAGTCATTAACTGTCTCTTCTTGTTTTCTGCTCTTTTCCATTAACTCCTTCTCATATTTTTCTTCCATTTCTCTCTTCTCGTTTTCTAAGAAATCCTCCAGTTTGTCCTCTCGTTTTTCGTACGAATCTTTAAGCTTTTCTTTAGCTTCCTGCAACACATTATTGTAGTGTGCTACAGTTTCTTCATTCTTTTCTTCTAGTTTGATAACCTCTGCTCTTGCATTCGTTAGCTCTTTTTGGAGGTTTTTGATTTCATCTCCGAGCTTTTCTGTTACTGTTTGTAATTCCCGCTTCTTTGAGCTTAACATTTTGATTTGAATGTCAAGCTCTTCTTCATGTAACTTTACTAAGTTTTCCTTCTCCTTCACAAAACGCGATTCCATTGCCTCTTTTTCTAGCTTATTCTCGACTGTCACCCTTTCAACCAAGCTTGTATGGCTCTGTTCTTTCTCATCAAGTTGTTCTTTAAGCTCCTTTACTTCTGCTAATAATTTTTCTTCTTTCTGCAACAGTGTATTGATTTCTCTTCTTAGTTCAGCTGTTATAGAGTCATACGACTCAGTATTGCTTACAATTTCTGCTTCTAGTTTCTTGATTTTGCTTTTGTAACTGGCGTTCTGGTGTTCTATTTTCTTTTCCAAATCTAAAATGGACTTGGAATGTTGCGCCGATAGATTCGCAAATTTGGTTTTCCACTCTTCAATAGTGCTTGTGAATTCTTTTTCATTTCTTTCCTTATCCATTGAAAGTTGAGCCAATTTCACCTCGTATTCTTGTTGAATGGCTGTTATGTTCATCTCGTATTCTTTAACCGTCTTTTCGTGTTTTTCAACTAAGACCCTCTTTTCTCTTCTGAGCACATCTTCCATTTTGTCTTCATTGTTTTCCAAGGACTCTTCCATATCATCTAGTAGTTCTTTTATCTTTAGTTCATACTGTTGCTCGAGTGCAATGCATTTCTTCCTCAGAATTTCTAGTTCCTTGCTGTGCATCATGCATCCTTCTTCAAGTTTGTTTCTTTCAAGGGCCATTTTCTTCAACTTTTCTGACCATGACTGCTCTAGCGTAAACGTTGCAGCCTCATACTCTCCTTCCATTTCTTTACTCCTTTTCACAAGCTCAGCCTTCTCTTTTTCAAACTCGTCTTCCATTTCCTCTTTCTCAACAGTCCATCGTGATTGCATTTCTTTCTTGAGCTCAGAAAGTCGTCTTTCATAATCTACCTTCAATTCAGAAACCTTAGATTTTAGTGCTTCATTATCTGCGATGGCTTCTGTAAGTTTTTTCTCTAACTTACTATTTTGGATTTTCAAGTTTCCAATTCTATCCTCATAGTCCTGTCGAATGCTGGTTATGATTTCGTAATCTGTCACATATGTAGTATGCGTTTTCATCAATTCTCTATTTTCAATGCTTGACAAATGCAATCGTTCTTCGTAATCTCCGATAACAGATTTCTTTTCATTTGTAAACTGTGTTTCCATCTTTGACTTCTCGTTGTTGTACTTCATCTCTAGTTCAGCCCTTAGTTGTGCCATGCTCTTGTCATGGGATCTCTGCATCGATGCTTGTTTTTGTCTTAAAAGTTCCATTTCCCGTACAACCTGGTGGTATTTCTTCTCCCAGTTATCATTCTTCATTCTCATTTCAGCCACTTTGACTTCGTATTCATGACGAACCTTAGTGTTGGAGATTTCATATTCGGTCACAGCTTTTTCGTACATGTCCATGATGCTTTTCTTTTCTTTCTCGACAAAAGTAACTTTATTCTTATATTCCTTTACTTTTACCTCCAACGCAGCAACATCAACTTTCGGATTTTCTTTCAATGGTAGCTCCAGAATCTGAACACTTTTTTCCGATACAGACTGCTGCTGGTCAGCGGGTGAGAGAGTCGTTGTCATGCTCCATGACTGCTGCTGGTCAGCA